CCACTGTGTGCGCGAGCCCGGCCTAAATTAGACCGGTGATCGTGTGTTTCTGTCATTTCGGCCGGAAATAGGTTGCTTTCGGTCGAAAGCGAGTATCGGCTCAAATGAAGGTCGAATTAACGTACGCTAATTTTGGCCGGTATCAAGCTGAAAATCGAACGGAAGCAGTGGCTGCAAAGAGGAGTGTAAAGTAGTACGATTATAGAATGAGATCCTGCCGCAATTGAGTCCCAAAAAACAGTTCAATACTAGTACTGGGACAGTTATGAGAGGCTGTCCTCCCCGCCCTCGACGAATATCGGCTGGGCCAAAGGACCACTCCGGTCAATAATTGCCCACCACTTACGCACATCATCATACACACGTCCAACTACGCACTGCACGGCGGCGAGATCCACTACTTCTGTCCGACCTTCTTCCCTGTAGAATGGGACATCAATATCTGCCGGTTTGTCAATCTTCACTGAGTGTACAGCAGCGAGCAAGATAGTTGTCGACTCTGAAAGCCCAAGATCACGGGATGGCGGCAAATCCAAGACAAAAATGTTTCTCAGCTGGCCATAGAAATCGCATGGCTCGAATTCCGGTGTTAGTGCACGCCGGCGAGCATTCTTATCCACGAGCAGCTGGTACTGTAAGGCATGGATTAGCATATCAGAACATACATATAGGCGGTACCATGGCATACCCGTACGAACGACGCATCTCGGTCGCGTTCTCGCAGCGGAACGAGATCACGGGCGTAAATCAGGTCACCACCGTCTATGATCTGCACCTTGCCCCACTGTGGTAACGTAGCCGGCACGTGTCTCCGAGCAACCGCCATTGTTATGTTGAAGCGAGTTGCCACAGCTTGCGCGATCTTCGTATGCACGGAGGTAGCAATTGCTCCGGTTTGATGAGGTACAAGTAACACTGCCTTCGGATCTAAAATAGCGTGATGAGAATGCCTATCGGTAGCGACAGAATGACTCACAATCTGCCGTACGATATTCTGTTCGAGCCTTCCCTGCCGTTGCTGTCAGAGATAGTTCATGGCTGAGATCATACGCTAATTCGATGTGAGTGAGCTGGGCTAGATCCACACAGTACCGGCTGAGGCTAGCATATAGAAAACGTCTGCTCTTGACGGCGGGAAGGAGCTGACCACAGAATCGCTCCATCGGAAACTCCCAGTATGCCCACACAGGACCCATCGCCTCAATACTGTCCGCAATGTGCAATAGCGCGTGTATGGTCAGCGGGCACATCGAAACGCGATCTGCCCTATAACAGTAATACATCCTTTAGCTCTGTCAGCTGGAGGATCCATTCCCGATGGTAGAGTATGACTTACCTCTCATACTTCTTCACCCAGTCAATAAATCCAGATCGCAAAGCATTGATTTCTGCCGTGGATATCTCAAACTGGAGGCAGATGTTGACAAGCCTCACCAGTTCTACGAAATGTTTGTAGTAACGATCCTCTTTAAATCGTCGCCGAAGGAGAACAGGTGCGAGATGGAGGGACCAGAAGGACCACATCTCGGCAGTGAAAAGGTTCTTTTCGGTCGCTATATTTGGGATTCGGGCTCCAAACGCTGAGGGAACAGTCTTTCCAGAGCTTGCTGATGCCCTGCCGATCGCCTCCCAAACTGTCGGCTCGAGAACAAACGATTCACCGGTGATGTCAAGCCCCTTAAAGTCGCCGGTCCATAGCGAAACAAGATTTGGGATTAAATTCTCCCAGATCAGATGCATAAAGCCGTATGGAAACGATGTCGGGAATGAGAGTGATGCCAGAGTGCTCAAAAGGGGTACACCTTTGATACCGTACTCCTTGCTTAGGCGTTCACTCTGAGCGGTAGTGGTGGCCTCGTCTACTTCCCGAGCTCGGAGAATGAACTCTTCATGCGTTCGCAACGGCAGTGCTGCGGGATCATAATTGGCGGAGTCCTCAAATTGCCGACGATCATGGGGGACGTAAAGAGTCTTCGCGGCTTCATTTCGGATACTGATGATGTTGCACATTCGACAAGGGCAGCATGCATTATGCCCCTTCATGCGCATTAATAGGGAGATGGCCGGTATATCCCCAAAAACAACGATCAGGTACGCGTGCAGCTGGAACAGAGCCTGCGACAAGGAATCGAATGCTGGTACACCGATCTCGAGCCGGACCAGTTCTTCAATAACCGGTAAGAGAAATGAATCAGCATCCCATGGCTTCTTCGGACCCGGAATGATACCAAGACAAATGATATTTTTCTTCTTGAACCGCTCCTCCGGTGGCAAGTTGTAATTGAAGGCAAGCAGCGGCCACGCGGTGTGTTTGCGAGACATCCGACCTTTGAGTGGCCCAAAGCCGTCGGTAGATAATCCCAGCGCAATGTCACGCGGGTCGGCAAAGAAGCAAAATGGAAGAGTGCGCTCGTTGACATTCACGTACGCCTTCAAGAGGCTCTGGTAGTGGGTTCCATCGAAGATATCCGTCAACTTCCCACTGGAGTGGACGTGTTCATGCACACGGTAGCACATAGCTGTGGCAACCTTGCGATTGGCGAGCATGGATTTCAATCGAGGAATCAAGGGTATGTAAACGAATATGTTCCTTGGTCGTCCTTCTGCATCGAAGCGGGGTTCCTTGCAATGTGGACAGTTCTGCAGGTTTTCGTATGCCGCACCGACAAAGTTGACGCAACTGTTCACGCAGCAGCTGTAACGAACGGGCTTGATGCCGGCGAGAGACTCCACTCGGCGACGAGTTTCACGAAGCGTCTTCAAGCCCGCCAATCGGAATGTCCTACGAAACTTGTCGAACGTCTTCTCGGAGAGGTAATCTTGTGTTTTCAAGGCAAACGCCTTTAGCAAGTCGATATCATCCTCTGATAAACAATCTCCACCTATTCGAGTCATGGCAGCATGTCAGACCGAGAACCCGCAGCAACACGGTGAGAACACTGACCGGCATTATTTGCTTCCCTCTCAAAGTTCTCACCGAGGGCTTCCTCTGGTGGCACCTCCAGCGCGGACAACTCCTCATCATATAGGTCCATCAGCGCCTCGATCAGGTCCTCATCATCGTCCTCCAGTTGTTCAGCATTATCCTCATTTATGTCTTCGTCATCCATGCCCTGATCTCCTAATAAGTCATCTCCGTCCTCGGAGTCACTGCTAGTACCATCCCTTGGAGCTCTCCGTGAACGTAGCCATGGCCCCCGCAATTCGAGGAAATCGTCTCCCGTGATGTCCTGGCCCTGCCTGTCTCCTTCCAGGTCTGGGAGAGTATCAGGGGCTTCGACCATCGGTGGGGCGGTCAAGGCTTTAATATCTACCCCTTCAGCGTTGCTTAACATTTCGGGGGACCTGTACCGAGAGCCGCTTGGTAGGTTATGCTCTTCCCTCACGGTCCTCGGACGCTTGCTCGGTCGGAGGAAGTCTGTGTCTGCTAGAACATTGGCCACTATCCGCGTGGGCCCTTGTCCCTGCAGATGGCGAGTCTGGGTATTTGGTGTGACCATCTTTGCACACCCACATGCACAGAGGACCTTTGGGACTGGGCCTCTTCCAGGTGCCATCGTAAGGTTGCGTAATGTGTGGTGAGTTTCGAGAGACTATGTTTCAAGCAGACGCTAAGTCCAGGTATTGCGCGTGGTGCGAAAGACGCGTCGCATCAACAAGATAACGCGCGTCAACAACGCGCCCACGTGATGGCTCGACAACGGTCGAAAGGCATCATCGCCCGCTTCCCGTATATAAGAGTGATGGCGTTGTGGGTCCCCCTCGAACCCCCCTTTCCTTTGCGCCGTGACAACACCGAGTTCCCACCGCACTCGTGCAGACCCCTCAGACTCCGTTATCATGGTTGCTCCTGGTGCAAAGCGCAAGACCCCTGCTCGTTCCCAGCGCAATAATCGCACACACCCAGCTCAGCAAACACCCACCGCGACGACGACTCCGACTGCGACGACGACGCCGACTGCGACGATGACGCCGACCGCGACAACGACGCCGACCGCGACAACGACTCCAACTGCAACGATGACTCCGATGCCTGCCGCAACGCACACGCCCACTGCCGCTGCGGCCTCTGCCAATCCAGCCGCGCAGATAACTCCATCCATGATCGCCGTGCCGGACGCGGCACCCCCCACTGCGGCGATGACTGGCCCTCCGACCGCCGTAGCCCTCATGGCGCCGAACAATCCGGGTGGACCACAGGTTCCCCCTATTCAGCAGGCGATGGTTCACGCACCGGTTCCTGTCACTAGCCCTATGGCAGCGGTTACTCAGGTACCATCGGTAGCAGCAGCACCGTCAACTAATGCACTCCAACCCCTACCTAATCAGGGTGTCAACCACATTGGAGGTGCTACTCACAATCAAGCTTTGCATGACACTATTGCCCAACTACAA